TGACACCAGTGACTTATAAAGGAAGAAGTGGGTAAAGATGATGGATGGATGAATTATTTGTTCCTAGATTTTTATTTTATTATTATTATTATTATTATTTTTTTTTTTTTATTATTCAGACAACTAAGCTAACCTAATACTGGTAATTTAAGTCACAGAATTTTATGCACTCATATATTTGTTCCTATTTTTGGTATAAATATAAAATGAATCAAAAATATTTGATACAGTAAGGAACCTAAAATGATTGTTTTACATAAATGTTCTATTTATTTACATTGTTGTTTAATCTTTTCAGCTTGTCAGTTACATATACATTATAACTGAAACAAAATGTATAACCATTTCAATAGAAAAATCATTTCTGAATCGAAAATCGATTTTGATTCGTATTGTGACACCAAAAGTCGGAATCGAATCGGATCACCAGACACTGAGAGATTCGCACCCCTAATCAGTACTATGAACCTGGATGCGCTCCTTCTCAGTGCACGCCACCTCATACGATGCTGTCTCACCCGCCTTGCGTGAAAAACAACTCGCCATGGTCTTCTGCCTCATCTTTCGCTCATGCAGAGTCCATTGTTGGAAAAATGTTTGTTTGGCACATGTGCCACAGACAATACATAAAACCTAATACCACAAAAATTTGACGCCACTTCATTGTTATTTTTCTTTACAGAAGAAGAAGTGTCTTCAGAGGTTTTTGTGTTGTTTCTTTCAGTAGTTCTTGGTGCAGCGCCCCCACAGGCGAGTGGGGGAACAGGTTGGTTCAACTGCACAGTGCAGTGTGAATGCAAACACACCAGCTCAAATGTAACAAAATGTCATGAATATTGGTCCCGAACCGAACCGAGTCTACCGGACTATCAGCTGTGAAAACAACCTGAAGTTCCATGTAGAAAACTTGGTAAAGAAACTGAAAGTTAAACTGGGTTTGTTTTTCAGAACCAGATCCTGTCTAACTCTGAATGTTAGGAAACACTTTGTATCTGTGACTTTCCTTCCCTCCATTGATTACGGTGACATTATTTACATGAACGCTCCTACAAGAACCCTGCAGATGTTGGATGCTGCAGATGTTGGATGCTGCAGATGTTGGATGCTGCAGATGTTGGATGCTGTCTATCATGGTGCACTAAGATTCATAACTGGCTGTAACTACCGTACCCACCACTGCACCCAGTATCCACTGGTTAACTGGTCACCATTAACTTCACACAGACTCTCTCACTGGTACATCTCCATCTTTAAATCACTTCTTGGTCTGCTGCCTTCATACATCTCCTCCTACATGTCTCTGTGTGAGTGCAGCTACAGCGTGCACTCTCAGGACATCATTACCTGCAGTGTTCCCTCAGTGAGGACTGAACTAGACAAAAGGACCTTCTCCTACTCCGCTCCTGTTTCCTGGAATATCTTACAAAAAGATTTGAAGCTCTCGACCTTGACCTCTCTAAGTGGCTTTAAGAATCTGTTGGACTCCTGGCAGGGACCAATGCAGACATGTTCCTGTTTTTAGTTTCTACATTCACCTTAGAATCTAGCTGCTGTTGTTACTTTTTTCATTTTTTTCATCTTATTTTAATTTGTAAAGAGGAAAAAAAAGAAGAACAACATCTGTATGTGTTTTTATAACTGTCCACTGTTTTCATCATTCTTTGTTAAATCAGGTCTCTCTTGTAAATGAGTCCTCGAGGCTCAATGGGACTAAACTGTAGAAATGAAGGTGGAATATTTGAGCTTGCTCTGTTAAACATCAGAATGAGGCAGATAAGATGACCTCATAATCTATAATCAATCAAAATGGAGTGTTCTTATCTGTTGGCAGCCATGACGCGTAGATTCACTTGTCTGATGTGATCTTTATGATTATAATAACACACTCATGAAATTTTCTTAAATAAACAACCTAAAATCGTTTGTCATCCATGGGATATTTTCCCGTTTAATGACTGAAATGTCCTGAATCATCAGAACCAAACATTGATCAGAATCTGGAAGATGAGACAGTGGAAGTGCAGCGTGTTTCTGATTGTTAGTTTCCAATGGTAGCCTGCATTAGAATCAACTCTGTTGTTTAAGGAAGGTCTCAAGGAAAATCATTCACTGTTTTAAACTTGATTATTAATCATTGATCGATGATCAGGATTACAGTACTACTCAAAATGTTATGTTTTTTTTTACTTTAAAGCTCTCTTAATTATTAAGAGCTTTTCTATTAAAAGCTCCAGGAGCGCTCTAAAAGCTCAGACATTTGATTCAGTTTTTAAGCCCAGCTACACTTTGTACCTCTTGAGTGTGTTTTGAAGCCTGTGTTCTCCCTCTGCCAGACATCATCCGGACCATCAGAGACCCGGAGAAGCCCAACACCCTGGAGGAGCTGGAGGTGGTCATGGAGAAATGTGTGGAGGTCCAGGAGCTCCGAGACGATGAGTACCTGATCATAATCAAGTTCTCTCCGACCGTCCCTCACTGCTCCCTGGCTACTTTAATCGGTGAGGAATCTCCAAGCAGCGGTTCTGTTCTGGTCGGGCTTGACTCTGTGGTTGGTTTGGTCTGGAGATGAGCGCAGCACGCTGAACTCCAGACCTGGTCCAAACGTGTGTTCACAGTCCTTACTTGATGTTTTCTGATGATCTGTTCACTGAAGACAGCAGTGATTTAAGGGGTTCTTACAGGTGGACACCTGTTCATGCTGGGTTTATGTTCTGGGATGCTTCGAAAAGACAGGTCAGGACTTAATGGCTGAGGGAGTTCCACTCAAACAAATTGTTTGTTACAGAAAGAACAACACAAAGCTCACTGAAATAACTCGAAACTAACGCAATGAAAAGGAAAAATTTGTAAAAATAAACTGATGGAAATCAGTTATTGATTTTGAATATTGGATCAATGGTTTCAAATCAAACTATTGGAACTTATCTTGACACAAAGGATAACTTCATGTTTGGAGTGAGGGTCAGGTGGTCGTCTCGGGTACAGCTGGGACTCTTGTACGATTCACTTCAGTTTATTTATAAAGCACCAGTTCACAACTAACTTGTCTCAAGGCACTTTACAGGAACATTCACATACAGAGAAAACCCACTTGGTAATGTGACGTGACGAGCGTCACAGAACGGCCGCACTGATGAGAGCTACGTGCCAACTCGCTCTTTTTTTATTCTTTATTGTTTGTTTTTTGTTTGACATTTGACATTTCTCCCTGGGTCTGTTTACCTCAGTGCCGTAAGGACAAAACACGGAGGGGGAACGAGCCGGTGTTTTGTGCAGGACTCGCCAGAGATGCAACAAACCCCCTCTCCCCTCAATTCTAATCGCAAACGTTCAGTCTCTGAGGAATAAACTGGATGACCTGCTCGCACAAATTTATTACGAACGGGACACGAGGAACTGCTGTTTTTGCCTTCACTGAATCATGGCTGGACACGTCCATCCCTGACTGTGCTGTAACTCCAGACATGTTTTCTATCTACTGGCACAACAGAACTGCAGAGGGAGCATGTGCTTTATCATTAACTCTTTGTGGGCAACAGATGCACATAAACTGTTAAAGTATGACCCTTCTATTTGCCCGGAGAATAGACACTTTTCACACGACGTCAGTCAACTTCCATTCTGACTCGACGCAGTGGATCATTACTTCTGGGTCTATTCTCCCTCGGGAGACCTGTCTGAAACTTAACGGAGTTTCATTCCTTCAACATTTATTTATAGAGATTAAATTACAAGATATAGCGCAAGGTAAGGTTAATAAAAACAGTATTTATGTGTTAGTTAGCTGCAGTAATGTTATCCATCATTATCAATTTACCATTCTGTAACTGTGTAAGGAAACAGCCTCCGATAGTAAAGTAAGCTAGCTAGCAGCTAACAGGTAGCTAAACTCTACACTGCTGCTGCCTGTCAGTGCTGTAACATTAAAATGTTTAACTTTATCTATTAACGTAAAATCTCTGACATCTTCCAACACTGTTGTTTAGAATAGCATTTTAAATATTGAATTAAAAACTATATGTCAAACCATTTCCATGTTCTGATGATTAATAATTTCTCTTTTTACTTTCTTCTTGTGTCCATCTTTCTCAGCAGCAGCTCATCTAACAAGCATGGCATAGTCATCAAGACATTGTTATTTTCATCTTTAAATCACTTCTTGGTCTGCTGCCTTCATACATCTCCTCCTACATGTCTCTGTGTGAGTGCAGCTACAGCGTGCACTCTCAGAACATCATTACCTGCAGTGTTCCCTCAGTGAGGATTGAACTAGACAAAAGGACCTTCTCCTACTCCGCTCCTGTTTCCTGGATTATCTTACAAAAAGATTTGAAGCTCTCGACCTTTGACCTCTTTGACCATATACATACATATATATGGTATGGTATGGTATGGTATGGTATTGTAGTGAACTAAGCCTCAGGTCAAAACCTGACCCTGAAGACCTTCATGGGACCGAAACTGTTATTTCATTGATTTGAATCCAGAAATACAAATTAAGCTCATCCAGAGACTTTCTAATTTGTATCCTGAACTAATCAATTGAAAGAACACTCTCTTTTTATATTATCATTACTATTTTTACAAATGTCTTGATAATCAAAAGTGTTTAGTTCAAACCATTTTAAATGTTGAAGTGAACCACTCATTTTAAATCAACTGTGAAACAGTATAAATGATTTTTAATCCTCATTCAAAGTAGAAATCAAGTTAGATGTCTGTTACAAAGTAATTATGCATTTTTTGATCTTCTGTCTGAAATGAGAAGGAGTGATGTCGGTCAAAAGTCGGAGACAATCGCAAACAAGTTTATTGGAACGAACTGTCATGTTTTTAAACCTCTCAGACAGAAACAAGAGAAGCTGGCACCTGGGGTCTGTCATTTCGCCAAAACATTTCTCTGTCTGCTCCTAAACATTTCTCTGTCTGTTCCTAAAACATCTCCGCTGTTTTTCTGACTTGTAGCAACCCTCTTACGTCACTAAAACCACACCCCTGTTGGTTCTTTCAACCAATCAGGACTTCCCAAAAGGGACTGGAAACAGAACTCTTTAAAGGTCGACACTTCCTAGTTCCAGTAGTTCTGAGAGCAGAACCGAACAGAAAAGTTCTGGGAGCACAGGAGAACAGAAGTTCCGAACAGCAGAACAAAAGTTCTGAAGTGCTGGAGTTAGTTGGGAGTTCTTCCGAGTCTAGTTGGGATTATGGAATCTTCCACATCTGAGTGGAACCTCTGACGGACTCACAGCTCATGTGAGTCCACCCGGGAGGTGAGCGTGTTGTTGAACGGAGTACCGTCACTACTTCGGACGATTCTCAGCCATCCTGAGGAGACGCTGAAAGGTAGCATTGAAATGGAACTCCGTACCGGAGCTGACCTATCTTCTGCAAAGGTAACGAGTCGCTTCACTACCGAGTGCACCGAGGCTGAGCTGGGTTCGGATGGAGGGTGCCGTTCTTCGTCAACACATTTTCCCTCACACATCTTTTCTCTCCATTTAAACTCCTTCATTCCCCATCTTTAAAACTCTTCTATCTTGCCAGTAATTAATCCAGATATCTTCAGATATGTTTGTTGTTTTAAGTTGCAAGTGAGAAATCATGGCCGTATGATTTCTCATTGTAAAGCTCATTAATTAAGCTGTGTCATTGCCTTCAATCAGAATAATCAAGTGTACAATGTTTGATGTTAAATTTTGATTCTGTTAATAAATGACCACATTCATTTTGATGGGTCAAAGAAAATTAACGTCTCACGTCACTGATTAGACCATCTCCGACACAGTACTTCTAAACACAATATCTCTCTCACATATCTGTCAAGTAGCTCGAAAAAGAGAGAACCCGTTATTAAATATTGATTGTAGTGGAGCTCCTACGCTAACTAACCCTATATCACTACAGTATATAGTTTATCATTTAAAAAAAGTACAAAACAATTCCATAACAATATAAAAAAGGATACAAAAGATTTAAAATGAAAGGCAGCAGAAAGAAGAAAAAATCTTATTATATCTGCCCCTTTTTTCAAACAATTATTTCAATCATAATAATCTTCAAGTAACAGAACAAAATGAATAACTTTCTAATTTTTCTAATTCTAATACAAAACACACACTAAGCTACTTCATATATACTTTTTTGACAATTCAGCTTTGATCTTTTTCTTAAATGTACACATTGACTTGGCATTTTTCACATCACTCTCTAGACCATTCCACAATCCAACTCCTTGGATTGAGGTAGACCTTCCCTTCAGACTAGTTCTGAATTTTGGTTTGACAAATATCTCTATCCCCTTAAGATTGTAACAACTTTGTCTTTTAACAACATTTCTTTGGATATTTAATGGTAAGGTGTTATTTTGAGCCCTATACATAACTGATAAAATACTATAATCTACCAAATCATGGAACTTCAGTAACTTCAGTTGATAAAATAATGTGCTTGATGGGTGACTGTAATGCTTTCTGGTGATAATTCTTACAGCTCTTTTCTGTAAAATAAAAATAGGTTTTGTAAATGTTTTACACGCTTTCCCCCAAACATCAATGCAATAGATTAAATGTGGAACAATGATTGTGTTATACAACATGTACAGAGCTTTATCATTTAATAATTCCCTGACTTTGTATAGTACTGCAATAGATTTAGATATTTTTGTTCTTACAGAATTGATGTGATTTTTCCATGTTAGCTGTTCATCAATGATTACACCCAAAAATTTCATCTCATTAACTCTACAAATCTCAACACCCTCAATTTTAAATGGATCATCAACAGTTCTCTTTTTGTTACTAAATATCATGTATTTAGTTTTATCTAAATTTAATGATAATTTATTAAGTTTAAACCAAGTTTGTATTTTATCAAATTCTGTCTTCATCAATTCCAACATCCGTTTTACATCTTTACCCAAACAAAAAAAAGTGGTGTCATCTGCAAAAAGGACACATTTGAGGAGTCCTGATACATTCACTAAGTCATTCACATATAAAATAAATAACTTTGGTCCAAGTACAGAGCCTTGAGGAACTCCACAAGTGATATTGCACAGGTCAGATCTTACACCATTTATTTGTACAAACTGTTTCCTATCTTTTAAATAGCTAGATACCCAGTGTAATGCTGGTCCTCTTATACCATATTTATTTAATTTTTCAAGGAGAATAGTGTGGTCAATAGTATCAAATGCTTTTTTTTAAATCAACAAAAATACTAACACAATACTGTTTTTGATCGACAGCAGTAGTTATTTGTTCTATTATTTCCATGAGAGCCATTGATGTAGAGTTTTTTGCTCTAAACCCATACTGACTGCTACTTAGAATGTTTTGTTGAGTAATAAATTTATCTAATCTGGTCACAAACAGTTTTTCTAGAATTTTTGAGAACTGTGGTAATAAGGATATTGGTCTATAATTATTGAACACACATTTATCACCATTTTTAAAGAGAGGAACTACCTTAGCTACTTTCATAATGTCTGGAAATATTC